GTGTTGTTGAAATTCTATTGATGGCATGTTTGGGCGTTTCGGGTAATAATCTCTCCATTTCTTCTCTGCTCTGACTGTTAGACGAGTTCTTCAATATTGACTTTTTATGCTTCGGATTATCAGAATTTAGGTCTGATATCAATAGTGAGGCTTTGCTTCCACTGCCCGTCCGGCCTAACCATCATTTAAATGCATTTGATTTTAATTAATATTTATAAAGACTCGATTATAAATAGATTATAAAGTAGTGATACCATTAAAATTAGCTAATTTAAACAAGGTGCTTTTATGTATAAAAATATTAATGATTTTTAAAGTAGTGTATTTTTGTTGGACTAAATATAATTACAAATTAAAATTCTATAATAAAACATTCCAACATTTTATATACAAAACCATTTATTGCAACAAAATTCTGGTTATTATTGTGTAATTTATACGGAATAATATGCAGATAAGTAGCGAAAACTAAAAATTATTTCATTAAACAACTGCACGATTCGCTATTAAAACGTTCGTATATTTGCTAAAATTCCACATGGTATAATTAAGATAGATTTATCTAATATTAATGACAGGTGAGTCCATTCTGTGCAGCCCTTCTGTGAGGGTCAGTATTTAGTGAGAATTATATAAATTGTTCATTATAATTATAAATGTTGCAATCATTGGTAATGTTCATAATAATTATGATTCTCAATAAGAATTCCTTCAGAATCACTACAAATAATTAATTTTTATATTGTATATCAATAAAAGTGATTCGAGTCAAAGTCAAGTCGGTTATGATTTTGAGATTGAATTATTTAATAGTTAATTGTTTTAATTCTCAACTATTTTAGACTTAAATGTGCAGTCAATCAAAGGGAGATTAGTTTTGAAATAGTATAGCTTTTGAATAAGTAGTTCATAAGAATTTATTGTAATCTATTTGTTAAGATAAATGGAAAAATTAACAACATATGCCTACAAGTGAGTGATTGAGCACCTTGTTCAATGAGTTCAATTACATTGTGAATCATTATTCTTATAATACTTATAAGACATACCTCTATACGGAAGAAAAGGAGTTTTAATCTTTTGTTTGACAGTCTGTTTGTTCACTTCGTGGACATCCTTTGCGGAGGCATTTGAATCATCGAATCGAGTCCTCAATCCCTGAAGAAATTTAGGCTTTTTAATGAGTGGCGAAGAAGAGGTGGTCATCGATGTGAACGACTCATTGCAAAGTTGTTCCGATAAAATCACATTCAGTTTTTTGGTTTCGTTTATTAAGAAATCATCGGATTTATTGTGAATGAGAGGATTGAGAGGCACTCCAACTAATAACTGATCGAAATTCAATTCTTTGCTACTTTGATGGGCCATCACTTCCATTGGGTTTATGTAAACGTTATGCAAAAGTTCTGCCCTCGAGTTGTCTTCATTGGTATCTTCGGTGAGATCTGCCAATGAGTTGAAGGGATGAGTACAACAACTCAGGTATGTATCGCTTGAGTCGAGTGATCCCACTTCGAAGGTCTTCATCTCAAAATTGGGCGAAAACACGGCTTCTCTCAGACCTGACTTTGATGTCTGTCTAACGTATTGGTGGTTCACTTGCGGTTCACTTTTGTCATAACAATCCATATTCTCGTCCATTGATTCAAACATATCCTAAAGATTTTGGTTTAGTTTAACGTTAATATCAAATACTAATATAAAATTCAATTTTGTAGCGATTTTTTGGAAATAAATTCATGATTTAATGATCGATCACTTGTGCAAAATGACAAGTCTTTAGGTCTCAATTCTCAACAAATATCAGTAAATAATCATTAATTCAGATGAAAACAAAACAAAATGTTTGTCACAAAACAAGAATACCTTTAATTTGAGGATTGGATTCATAGTTAATAAGTAAAAGACATGCTTTCCTTCCCTTCATCTAAGAGTTCTGTCTGTCGTCTCCTTCCTGTAAACGAAACATTTAATCCTAACATAAACTCAGACCTAAATAAATGCAACCATTCATTAGCGGCTCTTAATTAATCAATGATCACTACTTTAAGCAAATCGTTAATGAGATGTCTTTTGTCTAATTATATCAATGCATTCGTTGTGTCAATGATTTACGAAAAATTCATATTACAGTTATATTCAAGATATTGGATCTAATTCTGTAATTCTGTTTAAGAATTTTTTAAAAAGTTTGTCTAAAAATGAGATAATAATTTCGAAAATAATATTTATATAGTTTTGTTAACAAATCGTTTAAATAGATTTTAAAAATAAATTCTTATTATGAGTAATAAAGAGCCGCTAATAAATTATATATAAATATAAATTATAATAAATTTTAGCACAAATTAACAAATAATAGCATTGAAAATAAAAATAGGAAAGCATTAAAACAAATGAAATATCTTAGAAACATTTAAAATCATTAATTAATGAATTAGCGAATGGATTAAAGAATCAAGAGTTGAGTTGTTTTGCTTAAACGGCAAATTAGGAGAAAATTGATGAAATGTGAATAATTAAGCAAATAATGCTTTCAACATGTGTTGAGTGCATTGAAAGCAATAAATTAATTGTCGAGTGTTTACGAAAAGCGAAACAAAATATTGAATTTAAATGGACTGTTAGTAAAGGAATAATAGACTTACGATAGGAGTAGCGAATAGAGGCACAGAAGCTGTGGTTTGGTTATCAATATTAATTGAGTTTAAATCTAATAAATTAGTAGCACTTGGGTTTGGCATAAGAGACGGCGCACCGAATGAGTCCTTCCGTAGGCCGAGACACCCGCCGGCCATCCCGTGATCGTAGTTCTTATAACAGCCCACACCTGTGTTCACGTGAGACTCGCCCCCAACGCTGACCGCATCGATCTGTTGGGCCGCCGCTGTGTTGCTGTCGACGAGAACGTCGATCAGATCCATGGATTTGGCAAAAGCGTCCCTCAAGTTAACATGGTGAAACGACACGATAGAGCCCTCCCGTTTCGCTCTCTCCAGAGCCTCCTTGCGTTTCACTGCCTTCTCGCGTCTCATTTGGTTTTTGTAAAACTCGGCGAAATTGTTGACAATAATAGGAATGGGAAGCGCGACCACTAATACACCGCAAATACAACACGCGCTGCCGACGATTTTGCCAAACAAAGTGGTCGGCACTATATCTCCGTAGCCAACAGTTGTCATTGTAATACTCGCCCACCAGAAGGTGTCCGGAATGGACTTAAATTTAGTGTTCACTTCGTCTTTCTCCGCAAAATAGGCTAAACTCGAGAATATCATTATTCCGATGGCAAGGAATAGCATAAGAAGTCCTAATTCTTTATAACTATTTTTAAGTGTAAATCCGAGACTCTGGAGACCAGTTGAATGTCGAGCCAACTTCAGAATCCTTAAGATTCTCATTACTCTGAATACTTGCACCACTCGTCGCACGTCTTGAAATTGATCGGAGCTTTTGTTGGATTCGATGAGAAATAGTGAAACAAAATATGGCATAATAGCCAACAAATCGATTATATTGAGTCCCCCTTTGAAGAACTTCCACTTATTGGGTGATGACATGAATCGAAGCAAGTATTCCAACGTAAACCATGTGATACACACGGCTTCAATCATTGCCAGTTTGTGATTCTCTTCGGGCAGACCAGTGATGGGATCCGTGTCCTGAAAGCTCTCGATGGTGTTGAGGGTGAGTGCGATTGTCGACAGTATAATGAAGAGAATGGAAACCACTGCTAATACTCGGGCGGGGAATGAAGACGTGGGCTTCTCGAGTAAATCCCACAAAAACTTTTGATAGTGAGCGCACTTTCCTTCGCCGAAGTCTTCTTCGTCTCTCTGTCGCAAAGACTCGGCCTCTTTGCGCATCTCTTCGAACACGTGTTCCTTTCTTTGATGGTATTTGTGTTGACAACAGGACTCCAAATAGAGCTCATCGATACCCCAATAGTCGAGATCATCGCTGAACGCCATAACACACATCTCTTCTACTAAATGCAATTTTCCCGTCCGATAGAAGTTAAGGATAGCGGCGAAAGAGCGCGGATGTCTGTCGAAGAAGTATTCGTTGTCCACAAGACTATAGTCGTCGCAGAGCTCGCAAATGGCTTCGTGTGTATTGCAGTCGCGAAGTCGGCCGAGTCTTGTGTGCGGCAATCGCTCCAAAGTCCTCCACAACACCTCATGCCTAACGCCGCCTATGTTTAGAGTGACTCTCCTGTTGAGCGCTCGGCTCCTCATTATCATAAAGGGTTCGGGCGGTAAGGATGTCATCGATCGCGACTCATTCCTTTGCATGTGAGGCCACACCTGAGTTGAGGGTTGCGTTTGTGGCGCTTGCGAGGCATTATAAGACGGGGGAACCTCTAGTTCTAGTGTATCTGATTTATCACTTTCTGGCATTTTCTACACTATTTTCTACTCTAAACCAAATAACCAACGGTTCACCGCATCAGTCCTTAACCCGGATCTAAGAAGAAACAAATCATATCCATATCTCTCATAAGAATATATTCTGTGAATTGATATCAAGATTGACAGCAATAACAACAACAATCGCTGCGAACAGATAACTGGTAAGTATTCTGTGTTCATATGTTGCTAACAACTATCGGATCAATATTATGTCGTTGCTATACAAGTAGAGCACCAGAATCTCCAGTACCCACAGTACCCATTGGGCCACTCGAGGCACCCATTAATGATTAGATAATTGATATAAACTTTGTTTTCTATCACTATTAACGATGTAATCCTGTATTCATATACTTGTGCTCATCAGAGGATATATTTATAAATTATTCTCTTGTTGTAAATTGCATTGAATTTTATTCATATTTTATATATTGAAATATATGTAAATATTTCAAGAATTTTATAGAATCAGTGCTTCAAATCGTCAAAAGTGATAAAAAGTTATAATGGGAGTTACAAAAGCACATGTGCAATTAAATATTATTTTAAATACAATATTCTTAAATGACTTCTATATTAATACTTTATTCAAACAATCAAATAAATGTGAAATGTATGTATTGTCAAGAATGATAAAAATAAATAATTGCTTAAATTTGTTTAATGAATTCTTAAGTAGAGCTAAACGTCTGATAAAATTATACTTTTAAGCATTATATATATAATTAACAAATATTCTTTATAATTGTTTTCAATGCAATGAATAAAACATTATATAAGTTGCAGAACATTTCAACACTAATTCAAAAGAGTTGAATATTTTTACATTCCTTTGTTAGTAAATAAATTGAATAAAAGTTTTCCTCTATTTTTGTGTTAAAGTATTTCTTTCAAAAGAAGTGACAAAAATCCGAATTCACGAATAAAGACAAGAATTTTATGCATTATGTCGTGAATAATGAAATTCAGTGATTGCTGACAAACTTTAAAAGGTTACCACTTATTGTATAATATGAACCAAACAATGAGCAATTGTTTATTAATTGCCTACAAATTGTTACAATTTATTAATATTTTTAAAATAAAAGTTCATTGACTCAAGAATCTATTAAATCGAATCATATTATAGTAAATTCAGATCATTTACTAAAATTGTCTGACTTAGAAAAATGTTGCTCATTATTATAAAACTTATTTGTTTTAAGTCATTAATGTAATGAACCTGTTTCTATTATGGTAAATATTACCTAATTATGTTAAATGACTTAAAATACAATAGAAATGAACACAACTATTATCATATTATGTGATAATAAATACTTTTATTGTCGCAACGGATTATCCATAAAAATATAAATTTACCATAAAATTGATTTAAAGCTTTTTAAACGATTATCAAATTCTATTAAAAATGTATTTATTTATTTATTTTACTGGTAATAGATCTTTGAGTGAATTAAATTGTGAAATGCGCTTAAGTTTCAAAATTTCAAAATAATATTAAAATATATAATTTGTAATAAATATAAATTAATAAATTTGTAAAGTAAGCGAAAACTTGGTATTTATAAATAAATAAATTGATTTGTTGTTATCATAAATACTACAAATGTATTCATAAATGCAATGATAGTATGAATGCATTGTGAATGCAATGAATGAGGAATTTATTGCATTTTTGGAAGAGTGACAAGAATTTAAGCGTTCATTCATTTATACATAGATTACTATTTCATTAATTAAATTAATTATCGATTCAATTAATTCAATATAAAACACAATAAATAATAAAGAGATAAACACGTGAACACATTTCATACGAGTTTAGCATTAATTCCTCTTTAATTCATTGATTTTTACATTAAAATAAATTGTAAGATAAAAATGACTTACTTTTATATCAACAGTGAATTTGATCAACAAATGAATTCAAATATCCATTAATCGATTCTGTATTGCAATATATAATCATTGATGAGTTATATATGGGTTATAATTATTGCGATTAATCATCGATTCAATGAATGCAACAATAAATGTATTGTTTTAATATAATTTTCATCATTTCATACCAATAGATATATCCATAATATAAGCCATTATTTTAATTCAATTATCAGAATATTGTTCACGTATTCAGTGTTTGTTCGTTGAATATAAAGCCATTTGATTATAGATTAGTGAAAGGATTTGAAGTGAATTATAATCACATGAAATGTCTTATTATTATTGTTGAACTGCAATGAGAGCAACGGAATCGTCCAATCATTACACATGAGATATGTGTCTCTGCTTTTCATTATATCATAAAACCATTCAATTGATCACCGCATCAATGGTTGGCACAACAGAATCGGCCAACAAATGGATGCCTGTGTCGATGGTGTGGACTCAAGAGGAATCTAAGACATGTTTACATGCATTGAGCACATCTTCACTGAGAGGGTGTCAACAGAATTGAGTGCATTTTCCACACACTATATGCCAACCATTGGTCCGATTCTTGCACTGCATTTGCTGTACATCTCATACACAGAATCCTATAAACCGTATAAACGTTTCGTTCAATGCATTCAACAAAACGTTACTTATGTTCAGTCCATCAGTGCTTACACTTTGACATCCCTTTCCGTTTCGCTCATACCTTCAGAGTAGACAACAATTGCATTGATTTGCCACTAATTATCACATTATCACCACTACTGAAGACCATGCAGAACGACCAAGGTGAAACTGTCGACCTATACATCCCCAGGAAATGGTATGTCTTGTCATTTGGTCCCAAATCAATGATCATAACGTGTTTGTTGTCTCTTAATGTATGGATCAGTTCGGCGTCCAATCGGATAATCCACGCCAAAGATCACGCGTCCATTCAAATCAATTTGGCAGAAGTGGATGAGGCGACGGGTCGGGTCACCT